AAAAATCCTTATTTTGAAATATGTCTCCTTAGCGTATATTATAAGAGGGAAGTACTACAAAATGCATTTCCACCCTTACAAAAAGTGTCGCAAGAAAAGATTTCAAGTTAGACACACATAGAATCATACAGGTAATGAGTTTGATAAAAATCAAGACTTTCGACCCAAATGTCATGTATTTCAATGTGGACGTACTTTAAATACGTGTTTCCCTTTTCGCAAAAAAATGAATGAATTAATCACTATCCAAGGAAATGGAGTGCCGAAGGCGCGACCACAGCGAGTTTGTTTGGCCATCGGGCAAACAAACTCGCTAGTACAGTATATGTACGATCGTGACTGACTGACTGACGCTAATTCTAACCATGTTCTAGAAAAGTTAGAAATCTGAAACTTAGTACACATGTACCTCCTGGGATGTAGAGTTCAGAAAAAATCATACTTTGGAGGTTGATGCCCTTGTAGTAAATATTTTGGGGGGAGGAGTTCTAAAAATATATATTGTGACGGATTAGAATAGCATCGGAGGCATGACGTGACATGTGGGGTTTGGTAGTGTAGTGGTAACATGCCTAACCATCAAGCAGCAGACCCGTGTTCAATTCCCTCCCATTCCTCGGCGTTCTTTTGGCCTCTTATTCCTTCCAAATCGCGTTACTCATTCATCCTCCGTAACAAAAGTTTTGCTTTTGTAAAAAGAAGAGACATGGAAAGCTTAAACTTAGCATGAACTTGCCTACCGAGAGGAGTTCAGGAAAAATGTAAAATAAAAAATCCATGCCCTGTGGTGTCAGATTTTTAGGGGCCGACGTTTTCACGGACTTTTTTTTGCCCTGACTTATTTAGCTGGTGTGGAAAGGTGGAACTTGTTAGATAGCTACCTATTGGGATGCTGAGAGCAGAAAATTTCAGACTTTGGAAGTAAATACCCCAGGGGCACACATTTCAAGGGGAGGTGTTTTTAAATAATTATTCTGCATCAGCTAAAATGATGAATATGTAAAGCTGAAACTTTCCATGAATGAGACTACTGAAGCAGGGAATTACAGAAAAATATCAAGCGTCGATCCTATCGAATAATTTTCGAATGACGATGCATAAAAAATTTTTGTTGTGGCGAATTGGACAGAAATGGAAAGGTGAAACTTGGCGCACGAATAAATGCCATGTGATTATTATTATTGAGTTCAGGGAGTATTCCACTTTCATGGTGCATCCTCTCCTGGCATAGCTTTTGGGTGCGTCGCCTTTTCCAAACATGTTTTTTCAAAAGCGAAAAGGGCAAACGTAAAATTTTGAAACTTTGTTATCATGTAGTTCTTTCAGGAATGATTTCGGCAAAAAACAAAATTATTGCACTTTTAGTTTAAAACACCTGAGGGTACAGATTGCAAAAGGCGTATTTTCTCGATCCAACAAAACAGAGGGAGTTAGAAAGTTTAAACTTGTCTATAGAAGAACCTGATGTATAGGTGAGTAAATGAAACATTATACTTTTCTTATATATAGTGGATCGTGCGTAGCTGACCGACAAATATAAGTCGCTATTCGAATGTTGATTTCAGGATTTCAGAATGCTAACCTTTCTGGAACATTAGCGTCAGTCAGTCAGTCAGTCAGTCACGATCGTCTATATATATTAGATACTGTATATAATATTCGATTTCTGGTTTCCTGCAGATGATCCGACTCATTTTTTTTTTTAGAGTTTTCCTTTGATCTGACCAGGATGACAGGAGATGGTCTGAATCTCCTTTGCTAGAATTCATTTTTATATCGTGAAACTGTTGTCATTTGATCCTGATTTGGTCAATCTGAGTTGACAGTGTACTGGCGCCATCTCTGTACAGTCTAGATAACTGTTACCGTAAGGCACTAGTTTCCAACGCGTGACTTATTAAAGTTCAGACTTCTTAGTTGCACTGAGGTGTTCGTCTTTCTAATCGGAATATTATACTATCGCCTATCGGTATTAGCACACGTTTTATTTAGGTTTTTGCTGACTTTTTCTCAGGGAACAGATAATGGGAAAGGAAGAAAAGATCCCATGACAACATGTGAGAATAGGCCAGCCTGAATGCGATGATAGACCTAGAGTCATTGTAGGTTTGGGTGCCACGGATGTTTAACTCGTTCTGCCCAATAACGTTGTGTCAACATTAACAAAAATTTGAAATGTTGAGAGAGTATTAAAGAAATTAGCTGCATCATTCAAGTGCTAAACTCCAGTTCTCATCCAGTTGAGGAAGTGACTCGGATGGACCCTTCCGTGATAAAATTGCACTCATTATGGTAATTTCAATTTCTAATCAATATTAGCGCGCGTTTAGGCTCAAAAAGGAGGAGGTGAAGCCCAAACCTGGACAAGTGACATAATTTGCACAACGTGACACATGATCCGATTTTATACGTTGAACTGTGTTTCATTTCCATAATGCGGCAACATTGAATCCACCTTTTGCATATCGTTGTGGAAACATTGCTAAGCGCTGCGTGTAGTTTGTGCATGTTCATGTCTGCCTCACTGCGCATTAGTTTTGTCTCTCCGGACATTTACAGACGTATTAGCATTTTAAACTTAAATTTTAAAGTGGTTTTCATCATGTAAATAATTAATTTGTCATGCCACCAAATGGCATAAACAGAAAAATTGTTTCGGCAGAAACAAGTGGAAAATACCCTCGCGCCGATGATCGTAGGAGTAAGCGATTTGCGCGTGAGAGTCATACTATTTCAAGGATCCATTGTAGGCTTCGGGTTACCACTGAAAAAGGTTGAAAAATATTGAGACATGGTTGAACTTGAGAATTTAGCGAAAAATACTAAGAAATCAGTTAAATGCTGGCTGTTTGTAATAAACAGGATCGTCAACACATTGAGACTGCTCATGGATTGGCGAACTTTAGAAGCTATTAGGTACAATTTCATTTCTTTCACATTTTCTTTAGTCATGGTCTCAATACTGTTTCGAAATGGAGTTATCCACATCATCTCGACGGAAAATAGGTTCTAGCAATCAGCGCAAGATGACCCCTAATTGCTAATTTAGCGATTCTAACACTGATGCCTGAAAAGTATAGTATCCTGGGGTTTTTCATACAGTACGCGATCTCTTCCCACCTACAACTTGAAAGTAGGCTTTATAATTCCTAGATAGACCCTTTGGAGGGGGTAATCCAGCAGAAGGAGGCTCCAGGTGCTTTTGGCCAGAGGGTCCGAAGACACATGACAATTTTGCCTACCTCACTTCAGAGCGCACCAAATGACTCGGGCTTTAATATCACTTTCGTATCACTTCAGAGAATGGTAGTACATTCACCGGTCTGCGAGGGTGTGTTTAACTTTCCTCCTCATAGGATATAAAATAAAGGGTGATGCCGGGCGCGTAAACTCCCTTGTTGAACGGAATGAATTGCGTTGTTCAAATACTAAACTCGAGTTTTCATCTAGTTAAGGAAAATATAACCTCAGAAGGACACTTCCGTGGAATAAAAACACTCAAATATTCAATATTACCGCGCGTGAAGGCTAAAGAAAAGAGGAGGTAATGCCCAAACTTTGACAATTCAACGCTTGTAGAATAGTTCACATGATCGAATCAACGTTGATTCATTAAAACATTGCGGCAACATAGTATCCCCTTTTACCCAGCGTTGTGGCCACATAGCTCCGTCGAAAAATCAACCCTCACTCAACCTTGACCATGCGTTGTTGGCCGAATGGTAAACCTACCAATTATGGAATCTTGCCACAAAATATTGTTGCAGCAGAAAATGCGTGTATGGTGTGCATGCTCATGGCTGTCTTACTCCGGTTTTAGTTCTGTCCTACATGTCCCTCATGGGCATCTAACAGGTTTTTCATATGAAGGTTCAGCGTATTTTTTCCTGAGAAATATTATGCCGTTATCGTGGCACAAAATTATCAACAGAGAAACAGCTGGATGATGTCCCCGTGTCGATGATCGCAGTAGAAAGCGAATTGCACGTGAGAGTAATAATGATATCGATCCCTCCTAACTTTCGAGCACCGAGGCCGAACGCTCCAACAAACGCTGAGCAAATGAGACAGATTCCGAGTACGATCTGTGGTAAAGAAGACATGGGGCATGGGCTGGGCCTGGGCAGTTACCAAGTGCGTTCAACTGTGATTATTTTTCATTGAAAATATTATTTTCCAACAATCGTCATCCAGTGAACAAGATCGAAATTCACTGTCTAATCACCCCGTGTGTACACGGACTTTCGACTATTCCTGTATATCCCCCCCCCCCAAATTTGGGTCGGAAGCAAGAAATGGGAATATAATATATTATTCAGGATACATCTTAGACCAGAATTAGATTTGGAAAATGGTGATTTTCAATCGGTGTAATGGCAATCGCGTTGTTACCGATGTTTCAAGAATTCATAATCTGGATTCCTTCTAGGTCGCAACCAAAATAATGCATGAGCCAGGTGGAAATGTAAGGAAACCTTGATACGAAGTCTAAGAGGTGTGAATGAGTCGTGATAAGTTCTACTAATTGTCCAGTGAAGTTTCTTCCCTGTGACTAAGAACCCATTAAAGTTGATGACCTTTGGCCTCCATTTCAACTTCATTATTACCCAATTGGGATGAGAACGAAGGCGATTTAAGCATGGCGATTTAAGCATTTCATTCCCTCATTAATAAGACGTCGATGGAAATAAAGAAAATTTTACTGATGAAGAGTACACAAAAGTAAAAGTAAAAAGAGGCAGATTAAGCAAACGAATTTTACAGGACGTTGCAAACTTCATCGCTAAATTGAAACACTCCTGATACCTACACAGGTTGTAAAGGAGCCCTTAAGGTCTCATTAGAGCTTAGAAAAAGTTTACATGTTTTGCAATGTAAGAGAAGACCAACCAAGTTCGAAAAATGACTATATTCCAGCTGATCACTCCACCTAAGCTTTTTGCCTGTTCATAACGGTAATCACATGGCATTTTAAGAGGAACCTGGATTATATAGCATACCTGTGATAGCTCCCGGATCCAGTCTTGAGATATTGTTAGAGGATAGCATTACCTTCCTCAAGGTCTTGCTTCGGAAGACTAATGCCCCAGGGGGAAGATTGGGCCCCAAATGGCACCCACCACATTGAAACGTCTCGAGACTTTGAAGGCTCTTGATGACAGAAGCGGGTAACTTCATGATGGGATTCGAATCTGATTCATGGGAATCATTCTTGTGAGACAATGTTATCATTTGTATCAAACTTGTTGCTATGAGGACAAACTTCACGTTTAATGGTGTAATTCCTGCATTGTCCTCTGCAGTGCTTAATACAGCATAGATGCATATATAATGGAAAATAACCTGAAGTCGCCCTGATAGTGGAAATGCAGTGAGAATTGCTTGAAAGGAAGAAAAAAGCCGCATTTCGAATGCAGGAGACCATGAAAAACATGATGATATTCATGGAAATCAAGCAAATATTGGAATTTCTCAATTTGACTTCGCAGGCTTTTCTACTAAATATTCTGTAAATGATTTCTCTTAGTTGCAAGCATGTGTCCGTCTCATCAAAAACCTGGCTCAATTCTTTCACGGCATCTTTGACATCATCTCCGAAACATTATAATTATTATATTTCTTTTATTTTGGCTCAAAAGCTTTAATAGCGGAGTCATTTCATGACACGTGGTCCAAAGGTGGTTCTTGCCTCAACTGGAAATAGGCTTTAAACAATTATTTTCACTTGGAGATATAAGAAACAAATTTTTAAAAGGACCCATGAGAAATATTCAACACTTAGATGACAACTGAAGCTAGAACACTGTTTAATAACTCATATTAAAGCATGAAGCTTGCGCTGATAATTTGCCAAGTGTTTCTCCATTTTTTGAATAATAAAAAGGCATTTCTTTTACATTTCATGCAATTTCACATTTCTAATATGAAAAATCCAAGGTAGAAATACTTGCAAACAGTCCACCAACTAGTCCAGCTAATAACTTATCAAATGCATTTCCTGCTCAATAAGATTAGTCCAAAAATGCTATTAAATAGTTTTTACAATTTTTCGAAAACCTGGTATGGGAATGTAACGCTTCAAATGTTACCATACTATGGCAAATTTGGCAGTCAATAACTTTTGTTTGATTCTAGGTGCGACATCGACATAAAGTAAGAGGTCAATGAAAGCTGTATCAAGTCATAGCGATTTAATTCGGCTACCCGCAAAACCTGAAGGTTGAGAATCTGCTCACTATCCCAAGCAAGATTTAACATAAAGCGCTTCACTCCGTCTTCACAATTGAATTGAAATTACTACATGTATAAACAATTACTGAAATTATTCAATGTCATCAGTTATACTACCCAGCAAATTTTTTATTTCCGGCCGTACCCTTCACAATGGACATTCTTTTCTTTTTAAATCCAACATGCGAAGAGAAAGAAAAGGGCCGTGAAAATAATATCTGAAAATTGTTCAATATTCAAGAGTTTCTTAACTTTGAAGTCCCCCATAATCCACGTCTCGTTGACGCGCGTTGGGGAGCACCTGCCACATTGTAAATGCAGGATGATCATAAAGTCCCAGTCTATTTAATCTATTCCAATATATTCTATATTTTTTATCTTAAAATTCTTTTTAAAAAAATGCACATTGTGCGCTTGACATTGTCAAATATGAATAAATTAAATTTGTTATAATATATGAATAATCAGTCATTGCAATTTTTTTTACTGACGTTGTAAATGACCTTCCAACTCGATACATAACTGTAATAAATCTGTTGTTTCCCTGAACCCATTGTTCAGTATTTGAGGGATTCTGGTGCGAACAGCAGCATAGATACAATCTCTTGAACCAGTGGTAGGCAACCTACGGCCTGCGGGCCGGATGAAATCTCTAAATTTTTCTCAAATCTCTAAATGAAATCTCTAAATTTGTCTCAAATGAATCAATGAAACCTGGACGTATTTATCTCTTCCTCACAGCAGCCTCGTTTATCGTTGGAAATAAGATAAATTAGTTTCAGTATTTTGTGCTCTTATTACCTGCTGATGATCTGCGATTGTCTGATAATCGAACTATTACGAACCGTCGCCAGCGCGTAAGGTGGTGGGTTTGCAAATGCAGAGGACTTGGTTAGGAAATTCAACCTCGAAAACCGCTAATCCTTCGTATTGTGGCGCCAGCACGCGCGCCCTCCGTATCACCTGTCCTTTGTTTTATGTTGAAGGAATGAGAGGTTGGGATGTGTTAGTCGTGCTGGACTTTTTTGGCTTTTTGGACGCTGGCGTGTTGGTTGATGTTTTCAATCTGATTTATTGTGAACCTTCATTTCTACCATTTTGCTGTCAAAATCAGTAATTAAAAAAGGCGAAAAGTTGGCTTCGAGTGTCGGGTGTTCAGCAAACAGGGGACACACGATTACTTGTTTGTGCAGTGCAAAGATAAGGCAGTCTGTCATGTCTGTAAGGAGAGCGTTTCCATGCTCAAGGAATATAGCAATAGGCGGCATTACGAAGCACATTATGAAGGCAAGTATGACTCTCTGAAAGGCCAGATCAGGATTAACAAGACAGAGGGTCTGAAAAAGGCCTTGTTTGCTCAGTGAAATATTTTTAAGAGAGTGCAGGAAAACCTGGCTCCAGTTCGAGCTAGTTATCATGTCATTAAATTATTAGCAGAGGCATTGAAGTAACTGTGCCTCTGTGCAGAGTCACAGAGTTCGCACTAAGAGACCAACATGCCGAGATGTTGGTCTGAAGAAACCAAAAATTGCCTGTATTACGGTTAAGAAATGTGAGAATCACACATTGTGGTAGCATCAAGTTTTAGGCACAGCAATATTGTATTTGATTCTATGATTAAAGTGCGTGCAATGCTCACATATTTCAGTTAAAATAATCATAGATGCCAAAAATCGTAATTTGGAAACCTCTTAGAGCACTTAAACCCCCCGTTTCTGCACCTCTCAGCACTACTTCTCAGTTATCGCTCTGGGCCCGCGACCTGACTGTAATATGACTACCCGGCCCGCCAATAACCAAAAGGTTGCCGACCACTGTCTTAAACCATCATCATGGAGAACATCGGTGCTGTAAACCTTTGATTTAATGTCCCCCAAGCTAAAAAAAAATTCAAGGGAGTAAGGTGAGGGGGTCATGAAGCCCATATTTTGTTTGATCCTCGACCAAGTCCACGCTTCGGGAACTTCCCGCTTAGATAATCTCAATCAATGATCGCGACATAGGGAGGAACTCCGTCTTGTTGAAAGTCACGGTATCGACAATACCGTCGTCTGTTTGCTGTGGCTCAATAAATTGCTGCAACATGTCCAGGTAATTTTCTCCAGTTTTTCAACGTTGAAGATTTAAGAGATTAAATCTGTGCTGCTGTTAACACCATAACCCCGACATGCTGAACAATGTGTTCAGGGAAACAACAGATAGATTGCAGTTATGTATCGAATTGGACATAGCAGTTTAGAACTTCAGAAAGTATTTAATGACTGATTTTTTTATTATCAGCAGCTTAATTTACCACCTACGGAATATTCACATTGGCTTGATATCCGAGTCGCAGTAAACTATTAAGTCTCCGGTGTAAATGAAAAACGAGCCAGAGAAGTCGTTCCAGGGTGCCGTATACGAATTTTGATAAACTACAACAGGAGTCACAAACTCACCCATTAGGAATATCCTCAAGTCCGGCGTCGTCCATTCTCCTTCCTCCATTCCGGAAATTTCATTCAATTGCAGGTAGAGTAACTGAAGGCTAGGACTCCTTAGGGTCGGGACCTCGGTTAAGTGGTTGCCCAATAGGTGTAGCTCTCTGAGTTGGGGCAGCCACAGAAGAAGATAAAAGGGAAACTCCTTGAGGCGGCTGAAACTAATTTTCAGCGTTACAAGCCAATCCTTAGATGACAGGATGACCGACGGATGGACGCTCTCTACTATAGTTGAGTAAAGTTCTATATTCTGGAAGGCGAGGTTCCCGAACACTCTATCTGGAAGCTCCAACACTGCTTTGTTATCCAACAGAATAAAACGCCTGTAAGAAGATGAAAGAGGCAAGTGAAGGTGCGTAATTATAAAATGTAATGCAATACCTAATACTTTAATTCGGAGAGGTCAAAAGTTGTGGTGGTGTTGGTGGCTGTCACCCCAGCGCGCGAGGCCTATGCGAGACTATGTCACTTCAGGCCAAAGGCTTGGCTAAGAAGGCATTTAGATGTTTCACACTCCGCATCATAAGCTTTCCGGAAAATAAAAGCAAAAATTGAATTGTCATGTGCGTATTTTTCGGTACCATAACGCCCCATTCGACGATGGGCATAATCCTTCAAGCTATAGGAAATAATGTGTTATTCAGGCATCGCATCTTTCTGGTAAATCGCCTAATGCCCCGTGTGTAACATTTACTAATATATATAGCTCGGAATTCAATCTCCAGTTCTGGAATCACTTCCGGTAGTACTCTGGGCCTTACAAAAACTGATTTCAGCAAACGAGAAGAAATTAAGGGTTTCACCACTGCCGATGGTGAGGAAATTCAAACCCTTTACTAGGGTAATCTTCAGCTGAAGGATAGGAAGCAGTGGGGAGAATGTGCAATGCTCACGAAAGTGGAGAGGATGGCCAGGATTCTCCGTTGAAGGCCCTCCAGATCTCCGCGCTCGTTGTGGCGTTCGAGCAATCCACGCTTACTTCCTCGTCATAATCGTTGAAACAGATACAGGGCAGTATGACTTGAGTGGGGCATGCCTGATCACTTTCACAATACGCCAAGGAGAGGAGATACAGCCAGAAGATTCTCATGGATCCCATCAGATCAGACTTCTTGGGCTATACACATGTCATATATATAGGCGATCGTGAATAACTGAGTGTCTGGCGCTAATTCTAACCATTATCTACACATATTTGGAGAATAGGGTGGAACTTGGTCCACGATTATCTTTCAGATTGCTTACTCTAGAAAAATCCAATTTTAGAATTGCGTATTTAATTACTCAGTTTAGCTCATATCAGGGTAACTTATTTTGTTAGCCCATTCCAAACACACGGAAGGACGCTTAGGATTACGCCATTGTCATGAGAAAATTTGCACTGTCTGGATTATCTAGGGTATATAGGGGAAACATTACAATAATAACATTCATGCATGAAGTATACCTTCAATTACTGGTACATCTGGTCCATGACAGCGAGTAACTTGGGAGAATAAAATCCCACAATACTTTTGAAATATCAGCCGCTTCGGGCACTAGTTTCGGTCGCAAATGTCAAATTTCGGTTGGTGCATGAAAGGGCATATCCGTGCACATTGAAGTCGTACACTGTTAAAAATTTTTCCCGCCGGGAACTCCTGAGAGCATGTAAGAGAACACCTGGAGGCGTTCTTTTCCATGTTAAAGTGTTCCCGATTCCCGGTATGTGCTCTCCAATGCGTTCATGTGTGCAAGGAGGTGCCCCATGAATGGGTTCTCCTCTGAAGGACAATTTTAGGAACACTTGGGGTCGGAAGGCCTGGGAACACACGACGGCAAATGGGAACACCTCGCTCAGATCGGGAGATCTATTATGGATTTAATCGAGACTTTCTACAAGGTTCATTCGCTCCCTAATTTTCACTGGAATCTCACAACTTAAGGTACTAGGGACACCAAAAAATCGACCCCCCTGGATGGAAATTTTGTTCTGTAATTGTTGTAGAGGACCTCAAGGAAGGCCACTGGAGCCCCTCACTGAGGTCTTCAGGTGAACCGCATGGCCAGAAAGTAGTGTCAAATGTCACGGCTGACCCACTCCTCTTCGAAAGCCGTTATCTCCTCAACCACTTATCCAAATTTGCTGAAACTTGCACCATTTTCTTCGTTTTAAATAGCTCTTTAAGAGGAAGGCAAGTTTAATTTCATCATTTTGCTGTTACGGGCGTGGTAACGTGAAAAGCAATTTCCGCGAAAACTTTCAATCTCTATACCTTGCGCAAAAATCAATGAATCAGAATAAGTATTGGCTCTCATATTGACTTGCTGCTTTCGTTGAACAATATCGTTTCACTTCACCGTTCCACCGTCCTTTTGTGCGTTCGGCTTATGGAGTCTGTCTCAAACTTTCACTCATTGAAGATACCTGCAAAGAAATCGGGGTGAAAACGTTTTTCCAAAATAACCAAGCTAAGGACTTCTGTTACTGTAGTCTCCATAGAAGGATCGAAATTGCTCCCCTGGAACCTTCAACGAGTCCTTGATATTATGGGCATGCTTGTTGGTCTCCCTCTCAACGACGCCCAAGACCAGTCCAGGGGGTTTAAATCAGGTGAGCTAGGAGGCCAAATGTTAGGGGTAACGTGCAGAGTCTTGCTGGAACACGTACGGCCTCCCCCGAGCCGAGACGCTGTCAAGTCCTGTATTGATGGAGTGGTCTCTGCTCCCTCTCACACAGCCAGCACGACCCAGGAGTGGCTGGCCGAAAATTTTCACGATCATGTTATCCCTAACATTTGGCCTCCTAGCTCTCCTGATTTAAACCCCCTTGACAACTACGTCTTGGGCGTCGTTGAGAGGGAGACCAACAAGCATGCCCATAATATCAAGGACTCGTTGAAGGCTGCCATCGGGGACATTATGGCAAACATAAATAAGGATCACCTGATCAACGCATGTAGTCGTTTCAGCAGCCGCATCGAGGCCGTAATCGAGGTTGAATGCGGTTTTATTTAATAGCCTTTTGTTATGTGTATGTAAGAACATGTGTACCAAATTCTATGAAAATATATTGGTTTTTCTACTGAATATTTTTGTTTTCCTCAAAGTCAAATTTTGTTACCAAATACCTGACGCACCCTGTATTTCAATAAAGAAACTAATAAAATATCCATCGCGAACCAAAAACCTATTATGAGTGCAGACATGAACCCATTAGGTGATGACCATTTCACTAAGACCATTCCGAAAAAGGGTATTTTCCATAAGATGCATTATTGGGTGAACCTTGCATTTTTATGTAAGAAGATGTTAGGCAAGTTCCTAACCTCATCTGAGTCACATTGTGCCATTTAAAAGCATAAACAAGGTTTAAATGGAGAGGATATGAGTTCATAGTGCATGGTTTTGGGATTGGCATGTTGCATGCCAGACATTCTGTGCAACGTTACTTCCCTGATGTATCAGGACCTGCCTAGCTATCTTTTTCTGCCAGGATATCTTCCCAGTTCACTTGAAAGTCACATGATCCCCTGGAACATTGTCCTCCTTTGAGTTTATGCATCTGTGGTAGTATGTCTTTTGAAATTGTCTTCACTTTTCTTTTCATGAGACTATGGACTTGGGATTGCATCCCAATCACCAGATGTCCTTCCCTTTGTCATGGAATTGACTGAGTAGTGAAAAACAGTCACAGGAGGCCTATTTCAGTGGTGTGAGTGGATGGCTGACAAGAATGACAAAGCAACACCCTAGTGAGTTGTCAAAAAAAGGCTGCTGCAAATATTCAGCAGAAAATGAGCTTATGTCATTCATGTATCCAATAGTAACATATGCATGCTTCTTCCTTATCACCATTAGCCATCCACTGTATTTACTAGAATTGTCTTGTCACCCTATGGCTGTTTTCTTATCACTGTCCAGTTTCTTATCAAAGTGTTTGGTTCTCTAATAATGATGGAACCATGAGTCTCATAAAAATTGGTTAGCTGGAGGCTCTTCCAATGATAACCTGTAGATTTCCAAAAAAAAACAACCTGACACCCATTGAAATGAGGCCATAGACTCACAGGGGAGTAACGTTTATGTGAACCATGCCCCTGGAGTGGAAGCCTGGTTTTTAGCAAATTCTGCAAGCTTTTTCAGATTACATCAGTTTTTTCGTAGTTCAAGAAGTACAAGTTGGCTCATAATTTCATTATGAAATGCAGAAATACTCAGGTCACAGCAAGCATGTGAGGGATTCATCCAGCTGCTGACATCAAAATATAAAACATTTACTAGTGAATTCATAATATCCTGGCTTTGATGAACTTCAAATAGAATATCTAGGTTTCATGACTGCACACAAAGGATCAGCTTCAGCATGTCATCTTGTGTGGAAGTTGTAACAGGGTGTGGCTATGATAATTATGTCAATCAGGAGTACAGCATGAAAAATAGACATCTTTACATCACAGAAAATTGATTTTAGCAGTTGTGCAGTAGGAAAAAGTTACTGCCTCCATAGCCAATGTTTAGTCATTATGTAATTTTATTTCTAGTGTTTTTGTGACCATAGAATTTTGCTTCCTTAGGTATATAGGCGGTCTGGCAATAAGGTTCCAGGACTAATTTCTTTTGTGAGTGTTAATGTCACAAAAATTATTTTCATTCCATTAGACTGTTGGGCAGTATTGTGTGAGCCCTCATCTGACTACCATCTTGAATGAGAGTTTGGCTGGCAATGTAGCAGCTCAGTGTGTGAGAGTTCTGTCATATTCCCAGAGCAAAGCAATGATTCATCACATTTTGTCTCAAACCGATCAATACAGCTGCAGTAATCCATGAAACATTGCTGAAGTGCCTTGAAAAGTTCCTTGTGATGCTCCAATAATTTTGAATGACCTTCAAAGCCGAAATTTTAGTGACGACACTCAGATCCGCCTCACCCCAACCCTCACCAGCCATTCACCCAAGGGATGGCGGAATCAGTCATTATTTTCAATGTCAATTTCTACTGGCTGAAAGCCTTGAAAACTATTCAAGATTCTTGGAGGTATGACGAGACAATTTGCCAAGACAATTCCAGCAACATTTGGTGAATTGCTGCAACTGTAATCCCAGATTGAGACAAAATGTGATGATGCATTGCTTTATTCTGGGAATATGACAGACGCCTAACACACTGAGCTGCTACATTGCCAGCCAAACCCTCATTCAAGATGCCAGTCAGATGAGGGCTGACAGAACACTGCCCAACAGTCTAATCTATCAGTCCATGGAATGACTGTATCTGCCCCGTCTTTGGTGGGAAAGACACATCGAAGGAGCACCTGAGGTGTTTCAAAAGTGTTGCGTTAAACGCGTTCTAGATGATGTTTTTCAAGTGTTCCGACTCGGGAAAATTTTTTACAGTTTAGGTAGGGCCCGAAGGTGCCACTCAAAATCAAAGGGTGGGAGTCTCCAAGCCTTCTTGCTTAGGCCATGACTATCGACATGTGCCAAGGCAAACATTCCAACGAATTGGTTCACCTTCATAAGCCGGTATTTCTCCATGTATAGTCGTGTTTAGCCTTTTCAAGAGTGTGACACTCAATGCCAATGTGAAACATGTTCTGCATAGGTGGCAGTGAGAGTCACAATTTTGTTCCCTATTATTTAAAAAATTGGGAACGTCTGCTGGTTTCATTTAAATTTGTGTGCTTGTAATTATTAAGTGCTACAATGTTATGGTTATTAATATTTTATTCCAAAAGTTTAATATGCAATTATCTCGCAGGAATGATATTGCATTATTGCTGCCATGAAAAGCCAAGCTGTTTTCATCACAGACTTTTGGCAGAGCTCAAAATTATTCATAAACTTGACCTAAGTGTTACCTTCACCACTACAGATGCCAGTGATTTTGTAATATGAAGGGTTAACATCTGTTTAATTTACAGGAATATCCTTTGGTGAAACGGGACCAGTCTCCAAGTCCTTGGCAGGAGAGAGTGTTAGAAGATCTAGTGGCTTCCATTCAGTACAGAATATACATTTTTGAAAATTTAATCTTGATATTTTCTCTTATTAGGAGAGTGTTGGTAGGGGAAACATTTTCGTAATGTTGAGCCCTTTTGGGAAGTGTTTTTTCCTTGTCAGAATATAACTGAGTTTTCAAAACTTCTGATTAGGAACAATGTATTTTCAATTATTCACACTACTGGGTTTATTTTAATAGTTAATTTCATAGTTTTTCAGGAGTTGAAATGTATTCTTGTTCTCTGAAAGACTATTGAATTATGAGAGCCAACCATTTCAAGACCATTCTTGTGTGGTCCATAACACCTTTCATGGCTATGAAGGGACGCGTGTAACCCTTACACACTAGTAACACTTACGGCAACGTATCTTCTGTGTTTGCTTCCTCCATATGTTGTTACGCTCTCCTGATGGTTAAAGGAATGGCGGAAGCCTAATCTTTGCCCAGTTCTCGAGTTCATTGCTGTAAAACTCATTCTTCAGATCAAAATCATTTCGCATAAACGGGACCTACTGAACCTCTCACTGTTGACATAATGCTCCACGCTTTGATTTACACTACCGAGTTATTATCGAGGCAAACAAAGTCGCTATGGTACCGCCATCGGCGCTCCACGATCCATGATTAATTCATTTTATAGACCCGTTTTCGAACTATCTGGTGAAATTCCTGTGGTCATAGTCATGTTTCATTGCACTTCCTGTTATGTGACTTCATTGAGAAACTTTCAAACGGAGATATTTAGCATCTTAGCCCTACTCCCGCTGCATTTATCATGACGGCGTCAGTCCGGTACTTGGAATATTCCTGGACTCGCAGTACGAGGGTTAAAATTGTCGTATCAAGAGGTATATCTGCATCCATTTTAGTTTTCAATACCCGCTGAAATTGGCGTCGGATATTGATCTATTGGAAACGTGCTTACATAAACATTTGTGCCACGTTACATTGGAACTCAAAATAGGAGGAATTTTTTTGGAATCATCATTCCTAGATACCATTAACAGAATTTCCATTTTCTGTATCTGCCTCATACCTAGGACAATACATTCCTTAGGAAATGTCTACAAAATTATTCTATGCAGGAAGACATCATGGAATGACTGATCTTCTTAAATTTGCGACTTGAGGGGTACCTTGCTATCTAAGTTTCCGTTTTTGACTTTCCGTTCCGTGGGAGTCAACACTTTAAGGTACACGTCTGCTTTAAAGCAAAGGAGGGCTTTCTGGGAAAGTACCAGGAAAGTAAAAATAAATCCTGACATCAGTACCCAATGAGCTACAAGATAACAAAATAATATTCATCCAATGCTTCGCGTTCAAGCTTCCTGAGGCAAAACGTGCATTTGAAAGAAGGATGTTAGAAAAGCACTTAGTGGTTAACCTCACAACTAAAAAAGTAACTACGGTAATATTAGTATCGAGGGAAGCACTTATACATACATTTTCAGCTTCTCATATATGCTCTTTTAAGGTTCAAGATTCATCGTTTGGATGGAGCCAAAATGACCATCACAAATTACTTTTCAAAATTCTTGAAAATATGTAACCTGAGGTGATCCATATTTAAATTTAAAAGAAATTATCTGAATTCTTGATTACAAAATTCTACAATCCTATTTTTCTTGCCAGGGCATAAATAGCTATAAGCACTTCCCCTGCTCACAAGTAGGGTTTATTTTAAAATATTTTCGCTAGGAAAAGCTATTTTGCATGTTTTGCCTTGCCATGTGCCACAGCGTTGTTAGAGTGAAATTTATCTAGAAATAAGCTCCCGAGAAAAAAAAAATTATTGGAGAGCTAACCTCGAAAGTAATGAAATGCATTGAATTCAGGACTCAAAATAACTTGTATACCGACTTTCAGCTTTTAATAATTGCCCTTCTCAATATTGCTAAGTACCTTTTCAAAGTGCGTCCCTCTCAAAATATAAGCCATTAGGGGACGTATCACGTAACCGAGATTTGTATTGAAAACATTGCGCGAATGATTTATTGTATACCTAACGTCATATATCCATATATTCTCCCATATGCAAAGCGAAAGATAAATCCTGAAATGCTTCCCTCCCACAATCCACCCTGAGGGGTGCATATGAAAAATAAGCTTTATTAATGATTTATTGTATACCTAACGTCATATATCCATATATTCTCCCATATGCAAAGCGAAAGATAAATCCTGAAATGCTTCCCTCCCACAATCCACCCTGAGGGGTGCATATGAAAAATAAGCTTTATTTTGTACTGAGCAATCCAACAGGTATTTGTGCGCCAAGTTTCAATTCTTTATCTCTCCCTCTGTTTCATAGGAGCAACAGTCATGGAAATCGCATATACAATCCGAAGAAAGTGCATTAAGGAGTTTTATCTTAAAAATAATGTTTTTACTGTAATTTTTACTCGAAGAAGTAAATGCTGACCATGTATAATTAATTTCAACATTGTACGGTTGGCCATATCGCTGAAGCAAACTATGGAAAGCTAACTCAATCAAAAGTTGTGCCGTGAGGGGGTGCAGCGCAAAAGAAGACTTCTCCTTGAACTCACGTAACATATGTGCGCGTGGCAAATGTCACCTTCCTATTTCTCCCGATTCGCTAAGACAAAAAAAATAATTGAAAACCAACTCCCCCCAACAAATATGCTTCCAGGGGAAAGGTAACATTTTGACCATATTTTGAAAAATAAATTTTTTTATCAACTCTGCATCTACATATCTCTTTCAAAGTGTATGGTTACAATTTCATGTCGTAAAGGCGTATTCAAAAGCATATAGCAAAGATGAAACCGAGATGCGGAGCATCTCAAAGCTTCAGGAATCATTTTCAGATAACGTGGGGGAAAAACTCACCGTTTTTCAGAAGTATTATATTTTCCAGAAGTTGCAGAACATGGAAAATGGCTGAGGCCTTCGAGTTTCCACGTATCGGCCACGGAGGCCTTTCCTTGAGGTATGGGGAAATACGACGTATCCTCTCCATGACCTTCAAAAGACACACCTTGGGTACGATGGGGGAGAATATCATCACGGCATACCAATGCAGATGGGAAACAAAGAAGGATCTGTGACCCGTGACTGAAATGCAAATATCGCTTATTCGATTAGAGAATGTGTTTGCCCGAAGGGGGTAACGCTCGCTATGGTCTCATCTGCAGCGCTCGGCTAACTAATTCAAATCGGAGGACCTCGTGCACGAAATAACCGAGGCCACAAGATTAATCATATAGCGTGCGCGATCCTGAGCGCTAGATAGGCCGTGCGACGAATGTATTTTTGTGCGTGTGTGGCAGCTCTACAGTCCAAACGCTTCAAATATGAACTTGGGGCTTCGACAGAATTATTTTTCATCATCCAAGGATGTGCCTTTATGAATTGGAATTTGCAAATCGACATCAGGAAAGGGAGGGAAGGCAACTTTCACGGAAAATCGGATGTTCCCTCTCGTCTCGCCATCTTTTGGATGTAAGAAGAGACGAGATTTGTCCTTGTACTCGAAAAGGGAACGCTGGCATCGCTCACTGCAGTGCCTCCCGGCCAGCTGTCGAAAATCCAAGGAATACTAGCGTCTATGATGAAATTCGGGGCGATTCTTCTGTTGCCGTCACTTGTTTTCATAAGGGCTCTTCAAAGAAGTCCATCACCAGTGTCCTCCTGGGGGTCCATCTCTCGCATTGGAGAATTTCATATTTGCATAATGACGTGCTCTTTCGTCGCTGCATACCTCACCTTCACTCCTTTGAAAGCTCTCACGAACGACGCAAGTAAGCAGACGAGCGTCGGAGTTCTTCAAAGGTTGTATTGTTTCCCTTTATTGCAGTCGCTTTGGTATATACGCGTAGCAAACATGTTTAAGCATATATCGGACAAATTATGCGAGACGGGAGCTTGCAGTAAAATAAAATGTGATTTGCAAATCGTGACTAAATTGTTTGCTGCATGTTCCCTTTTTTTGCTCCATTCGTATGAGTTGACGTACCATGCTAGCCGTTGATGTTTCTGAGAATGAGACTCCTGCATTTGGGTGATTAATTCCCGGTGGTTGCGGTATCACGTCTGTGCGCCGACATTGAGACAGGGTGTTGTAGAATGCATGAGTAAACAGTCTAGTTTGGGCTGGAAGGTGCGCTCCACATAGCATGTTGCTTTCGAATTTTAATCACATGTTAAGGATTTATTTTATTTTATGGGCGCCATGCTTTATTGACGTGCCGCGGAATGCTAGGTGATATAAGCTTTGACAAATTACATCGGTGTGGGATTATTGTACGGGTTCTAGGATTTTCCTAAATTCTTTTTCTTCACCTTTGTTGACAAAATGCTCCATTCACATGATTGGGTGCCAAAGATATTCACGGGTGAAATGGGACCAGCAGGTTTAATACACATGACAGTGCCCGAGTAACACATGAACACTCTCGACGACGTTCAAAGTGCTTTCAACGAGACGTTTTTTGGACGTCGAATGTACCCAGATGAGCACCTTTTAGGCGTTCAGTTCAGGTGCCGTTTGACCTCGAACATACTGCATTTGAATGACGTTCGTTGAACGTTAAATACATGTTTTTCTTCAGCATATCTATGCTATCCATCTGACCATGGCTTGACCCAAAGGTTCGCACTCCTGACGCCAGATGACGCACTGTAGTCGATGAAGCGGATCAATTCCTGATACAAATGAAATTATTCCGAGGCACCTTCCAAACGGTAGCCGATCTTTCCCCAAATAACAGGAAATATCTCCGTTTTTAAAAGCATCGGTCTTTAGAAGTAACCCTGTCCTAGGGGTCTCCTGAAAAGTATGGCTCGAAGATAGAGGGAGGATAGTTTAATTTTTCAGGTGACTTCTTAGGAAGGGGGAGTGAAGAGAAACTGGTGAAACCTATATACAATGCGGGACAAAACTATGTCAATGTTTGACACAGTTCCAGTTGATGACTCATAACTCGAGTATGACGTGTTAAATTTAACTTAAATTTCAGACAATCATCCTCCTACTTCCTGGCTTTCGATTGGTGCTAGTCGCGTGTCAATTGGCCTCCTATTGGCTGAGCTGCAGCTATTTCAAGTCAACAATGTAATTGACACAGTTTTGGACACTCGGACATACAGAATTTCGAATGTATCTATACTCTGTGTGTTCGCCTTCGGCTTTCAACCCTGCTAATACACTCCTAAACACTCTCTCGATCAAGTCCAAGCATGTTTGAACGGGAATGGCGTCCCACTCGGTTGTGACCCACCGCCACAACTTGTGGATGCTGATTGGCTCATTACCGTACACAGCTAGTCTTTGCTTCAAGTCTTGGCGCAAATGTTCCATCGGGTAATTGTCTGGTGACTGCTGGTCATTCTATGACGTCGATTTGGTGTCGTGGAAGCACGTCTAGATCACCCGAGAGGTGTATCTCGGATCACTGTCCGGCTGAAACACCACCTCTCTCATTTCGAGCCGGTCTATCTCAATTGTTCAGAGCAATTCTTTCTCAAGAATGCTTTTATACATATTGGCAAATATCCTCCTTATAGAGTATTTGACATCCATATCCGAATCCCTTGGCCGTCATGCAGCCCAAAAACATCAGGCTGCCTCCACCATAATTCCAAGGCCTCTCTGTCATGCCACGCTGTTTCCATATCCAATCCACATCCGACTTCGTAAGGTTGATTTTGGTCTCGTCTAACCAATATAATGAGTATCTGAGTACCTGTGTCCTCTTCTGAGTATCCCATATTTTTCTTAAAAGCAGGAGGTTTACTTAAATAAAAATTAACCTCAATTTCGACGAAAAAATTGGCATAAATTGTTCAAAATATTGACGCAAACACGCTGTTTAGGTAGTGACAAAAGCAAAACAACACTAAATTGATGAAAATCAATGCTAGAATGAAACCCTTCAGATATACATCTTCTGAATCCACTAATTTTCCACTAATTGCTGAGGATGTTACGTTCATGACAAGTGGCTCTCTTGTTCATATTCTGTCATCAAGAGCCAACAACGTCCCCAAATCTGATCAGATGTATGCAGCTTGTGGGCTGCGCATGATGGCAATAAAACCTTAAAATCTTACAACAAACGGCATAGCGCTGATCAGCAGTCTGTAAACGGAGAGGGAGGAATGGCTGGATTCATCAACGAGGGTCATCAAAAGTCTTCATCGGGTGTTCTTCCATATTGTCTCTTCGATCCACGAAACGAACCTGATGATTAAAAGAGAAAAATATATTGAAAGTAACTTTCTGAATGAGCATAAAGAAACACGAGAAGGGAAGCACGCACCTATTGACTCTTGTGAAAACACTGTACTGTCCGGGATGCCTGGTCGAGCATTCCTCCTTGCTGAAGAAGTGGCTGACGATACCTTCCACCGACCAGCGGCTCTCCTGCGAAGAGTGTGAAGGAAAGACCATGGGACTGCCCGAGTCCCCGCGGCACACTGTTTGGTATTCTGTACAACAATTCCGATTTCAAGCAGTCATTCGAAGGGATTTGCGATGGATGGGGATTTTCAGGTACAGTTGATCAGAAATGCCTTCCCTATTCTTGTGGGGAAGGATTTATAGTTATTGAACCGCACCAATGAGCTTTAACCGTACAGCAAGAACATAATCACATGGAATTGCATTTATTAGTAGAATCATTCCCTATGAACTCATTTTTCTTTAATTTTAAGGCATATCAATATGGTTTCTTTCTGAGGTAGCTGGCTGATAACGGTTGATAATGAGAACAGATATGACTGGTAGACATAAATTTATAGTTAATTAGATGCCCACCCCTTTACAAAAACTAATACCGTGTGCGCTACATGCTGAAATAGTTATAAACTAGATCGGAGCAGCTATTCTTATTCAAAGCAAAAGCTTATGTAGACATTAGCCTTTAGATTGCTGCAATGCCTTAATAGGGAGTCATTTTCCAGAAAGGTTTGCCGTCGCTATGGGACATCACTAGCGTATCTGAAGTATCATATGTTATTAACTGCAAAAGATTATTCGTTTAGCAATCAAGTGGAACAGCGCATGATCCAGAGCAATCTTGAATGGTTACTCTGTGGCGTCGGGATGGTATCTCACCTTCTGCAGGAGTGTCCTTATCATGCCCCGCACAGAACATGTTCGAGTTGAGTGTCACTGGGCGATCACCAGACACACTGGTTATTTCCCGACTGCAATCTTTGTTTAATATTACCGGGAGCTCCACTTGGGTTAAGGTAGCGTCTCGCTGGTCAAAGCTATTCAGACCCCAGCCAGCCACCTGCCACCAAATATCGGAAAAAAGCAATGTTCACTATGAAAATAGCATGGTCATATTAAAATAGACAGGCTTCAATAAAATTAGCCCGACTCCAGGCAACCATCATTATTTCATGAGAGAGCCTCCCTGTTCATGCAGTGGAATGGTGATGTCTCACCCATCCTCTCGTTCCGTTCTCGAGCTTGGAGTCGTCGAACCGGGTCGGGAGACAAACTAACTGAACTTGTGAGGTTAGCAACGCTGGAACGTTCAGTTTCAGGAGAGCGATGTCCGAGTCGAAGTTCAGCAAACTAAATTCTTGCATAAATATATGGGACACCTGAAGGAATCAAAAAGATATTGTATATTTCCTTAAGGTTAAGCTCTATCCTTCATTTCCAACCTGAAAATTGAAAAGCGCTCTCTTGCAAAAGTACTTCCTCTCACCCCAGTAAACAATATATCAATGAATTATTGACTTGAAGCTCCTTCAATTGAGCGAAGTAGCAAGTTCATTATCAAGAACTAGTCAGTACTTTAGTACCAGTATCTCACAAACGGCAAAATCAATAGCTAAATCAAGAAATCAAAACAAAGAGATTTTCACTACGAGCCAATACACCAAGTGGCTCTTCCTGAATTCAGCGCGTTTTCATGCAAATCGAGGAAAAACCTTTGCGCCATAGAGTCCCATTATAACGGTGTGGTTACATTCTCTAAAGCCAGGTGGCGAACGTGTCCTAAGCAATTGAGGTATAGGCCTTCTAAATGACACCAAACTCCCTCTTGTTCCCTATTAGCCGGTCACCCGGGGTGGTTGTGGCGAGAGCCTCCGTGGATGCGAAGAGCAGAGGGTGACCCTTCCCCCTCGAGGAATCCAAGTCCAGACAGGGGAGGGGGAATACAAAGAAACCAGACAGTGAGGGCCCTTTCCTTCGATGGCATGGAAATGACTTCTGTATTCGATGACCATGTAAACGGTTGGGTATGCCCCGCGGCATATAATCGGGAATGTAAACTCTAGTGCGTCATGTACAGTTAATTCAATAATGTTCCTGCGATATCGTGACATCGACACACCTGTGCCTGCAGCACAGCAGCAATGGGAGCGGATAGAGAACCTAAGCGATATCTTTTTACCTCTGATTTGAAAAGAGAGAAGTTAATTCAATGGGACAGGTTTTGGGGAATCATTTGTTGGTGAGCCAAACAGCTTTCCACGATGAAAACAGCAATCATGGCCCTCATTTCATCGAGAAAGTTTCCGAAGATTTCCATAGTGAGACCACCATTCATCATCTTCAAATGTACTGAAATCCATGCGTGGGAGAAATCGCAGCAATTAGTCATGTTCTCTTTGAGTATTAACCCTGTCTGGTCTCTTCGATGGGCAAATATGAGAAAACCCGACTGCAAACATAATTCAGCTCGGAAATTGAAGCAGAAACCCTAGTATCAGGAACTGAATAATTGAATGTTTCGGCTTATAAGTTCATATTGGCCGTCGTACTGAAAGAGACGCCAAAATCTCTTTCCTGTAAATGGGGGGATATCTGACTATCGATAGACCCTGTTCGCATCAAAACAAAAATGTTCAGACGCTCGCGAGGAAGTTTTACTTGGTGTCCCCCTCCATCCTATGAGCCATCTTTGAGGCAGTATTAATCTCTTTCTTAGAGGATGTTCTTTTATGCATGTTATGCCGAAAATTTCCTTTCGCATTATCACAGACAGGTCAGAGAAGAGAGGTCATCCTGAATGAAGCCGTTCTTTCAATGGGAAACAGGAATTGGGAAAGAGTTTGTTCTTTCCTCTTTGATTTCTCATTGCCTCCCCTTCACTGTCTGGATTTGAATTCCTTTCGAGGGAATGCTCACCCTCGCCTCATTACGTCCATTAAGGAGGTTCTTCCTTCCTAGCACTCGGGTTCAGAATCAAGTTGACTGAAAAACGCCATGCGTGAAGACGTACTGGGTAACGAGCGATACGATCCATTTATTCTATTCCTATTACCTAAATGTAGAATTCTCGCCCCCCATGACTTCCCCGTGACATAGAACTGACAATTCTCTCGTTCTCTTTCCTGTCCCTGGGCGAAATTGCTAGACCTCATTGATGTAGGAGGTGCAGAAAGTATCCTTCCTGGAGCGATTATGTCTGGAGGAGGAGAATGGTGGTATTCAGGGAAGAAACGAAGTCAGGGGAAGCTGAAAGTTAAGAGTAATTGTTAAGAGGAAGAGTGGTAGGAAGGGATCATGAGGCTGTTGTATTGCGGCCATGAGCGGGTTAGGACTCCTCTAATGATGGAGTCCCCCCCCCCCCCTCCAGAAGAGAAACCATATTCCCCTGCATTGAGTGATATCAGTTCCTTAAAATTAGGGAACAGGAGCTATCATAATGTTCAAGGAACGCAATGTCGAGGTAGGAGGGAGAGAATATAAATTTAGACTATTAGGAAATGGAGACGAAGTTTATGACTATCGCGGGCCTATCACTTCCTATACAGGTCTGATATGGGAAGAACAGCCTGCTACTACGATCACAGAGTATGTTATCTGCACCGTGATGTGGCTTTTTAAAATGATATTTTAAGTCATCTTTAAAATCTCATTAGTGTGCCTGAAGGAGCATATCTCAAGTAGGAGAACAATGCGAGAGAATTGGCATGACATGCACCAAATAGGCTAAATACGATGTATGTATGTATTTATTTTGTATTCTCGTATGTATTTTTTTTATTCGGAGGACGACATAATATTATGAAACGGTATGATCGCGCTGATGTCTGGAGGCGGTGAATACAGAACGCGGAAAGTGAAGGGAGATGGAAAAAATGGGAGGTAGATGGATTTTTGAGAAATGCTTTCCGTTGGAGTGAGCCCTGAGGGGTAAGAGGGCGAGAAGCTGCCATGGGAAATCTATGCAGTACCTTCGCCCTAGCTCAATTTTCAGAAAGGGTAGGAACCCCCTTAAGGCTTACAGAAATGGAGCAATTTAACATGCAATGAATGCAGCCTCTTGCATTGCAACCGTGAAATAATCCAATTGAAGTGCTCTCGTTTCACAGGAATCTTTGGTACCAAATACTTTCATGATGGGCATTTAAAAACTTAAATGATTGACATCGTAAGTAGAACATGGCAGGAATAATGATTTCCAATATTGACTGAAGGCATTGCAAACATTTTAGGGCGGCAAGAGTGCCTAATCGAATGAAAAGATTACAAATTAGTCCAAAATGTACAGCAGCCGCCACGCTATTGGATAACCTCATTTCCCTAATATTAATAATAATATTTTCATTCTATTGCTTAACATTTTAATGCAATATGTCATTACAATCGCGAAAGAGTCTTAAAGGAATCCCGAAATAATTCAATGAAGCATTCCGAATTGTCAGCCAGGGCAAATGGCCTCAACGATATCCGGATGTTGACCTCTTATTTTTTTCCTGGGGCTACTTAAAAGGCACTGTTCAGAAGAAGCCCATAGATCGGGATAACTTGAAAGAGAATATCTCGACTGTCATGTGCCAGAAAAGTGATGGAATTCTCCTGGAGGGAGTCAACAATTGGCTCAGAAATATCTGGTAATCGGCGGTCGACACATTGAGCGAATTTGTCGAGTGAATTACTAATTTGTATTATTCTGAATTCCCAAAAGGCTCAATCAATACGATGATAACTGGAATAATTGTTTGCACTAGGGTCGAAAGGCAAATTTTCCCTGAATCTTTGTCTGAATTTAATTTCCATTCAAATGAAAAAATATAATGAAACACCAGGTGTGAAAAGTTAATGCTTGAGCGTGTCACATTAGTAGGAGAAGAGATCTGACAATATTCCGAGGTCAGTAAGTTGTAAGTCTACAAATGTTCAACAAAATGGCTACTTCAGGCTCTATAATAAAAAGGTGTTGTTAGGTAGTCATTTAGTGGACACACTGCATTTGCTTCCCAATATTGCCTTTGCATGGTCGATTCAATATTGGACTGATGCGATGATCCAATGTGTCTAAGTTCCACGTAGGCATGTTTTAGAGAAATGTTGAAATTATCCTCCAGACCACTAGGTGGAGGTTTGGGTCTCACATTTCGCACAGTACGCAAAAGTGCCCTTCCTTCTACCCATGGAATCATCTCTCACAAGAGTGCTTTGTAAATGTACCTTCCCGTACGCCTGTCCTGTCTCATTATAGCAATGAATATACTTGGACACTTCCTAATTAGCAATCACCATATTCAAGACAGAACTATGGAACCCAGACCATAAACAATATTATATTTCCTATGAGAACCCCATACGAAAATAACTTCAATCTCCTTGTATCCACTCTGATCGATGCATTCAGGGAAAAGTAAACCTTGTATTATCCTATGGCTCTTGCTCATCCATGAAAGACGTATGCATGAGCAGATGGTAATATCAATACTAGTTTAGACAGTACTAGTACTGAAGATATTGGTATCCCAAGCATGGGTAAACCCCTACTCGGCAATGAATTTAGAGCAAATAGCTGCGGCAATATCAGCCCAATATTGACCTCATTAGTCATCCTATTAAGTAGTAATCGAAGTTGTAATTCCAGGGTTTTGAAACCCAAAAAACCTCTACGAATCCTAAAAGGGAGTCCTATAGGACCCTATATGGATCCTGTAGGTTTTTCGTGTTTCAAGCACCTATAGGAAAAATCTATGGATTTCCTATTGGAAAAGTATTAATATATAGATTTCTTTTAGGACTTTTCGTAAGGGCCGCAATGCCCGAACTGCTGGATTAGCTTTAAATTACCACTCTCCGCTGCACGTATTCATTGTCCAAGGAGTCATTCCGATAGTATTTCCCCAGATACACGACGAAGTTCCTTGCATCCCGCGCCCTTGTCGTCCCGTCAACGGTAATGCAATGCGCCGCCGTCAGCACCCATCTCTCTGCGATGAGCGCTCCTCCGCAGATGAGGTCCCTTTTCTCCCCGTCGTAGATGGCTACCTGCCACGGCCATTCCCCCTTCGGTGCTGGCTTTCCCCCCGCTGACAGCTCCACATGCTGCAACTTCCTACCGCATTCTAGGTATGTAAAAAAATCATATACTGTAGAACCACAGTTTAGATCCCATGATCGAGTTAAAGATGGACAGACCGGCCTCGCAGAACGGAATGTGACCTGTCCATTGTTCGATCTTTCTGCAGGTTCTAAAGCCCGATCCCCTCAAGATGTAAAACTGGTCGCACTTGTACGTCACGGTGCTTCCAAGCACGTACTTCCCGTCTCGGATGCAATCCGATTCTTTGCTGCCCTCAATCTCTTCGAGTCCACTGCCGGTACCTATCCTGTAAAAGTTATGGGAAAAATTTAATGGAGACAAAAGGGTGCAACTTGTACTTAGTAGTACTTCTCCTGCCAGCTTCCTCACCTCTCTGTTCCGCTAAAACAGGATACCTTAAAAAATCCGTGTTTGATACTCGAGAGTTGTCCGCACCCGATCTCGTCTTCGCCTGCAAGTCAGAATACGCACAGCATCAAATAATTAATTCAATAATGTATTATTAGAGTTATGAAGCAGCAACAAAATTCGTATTAATTACAATTACCAGGCATTTTGCTCATGTATAAGCTGGGACATGCATGGATCTCCTAGCATGACAATGATCAATGCTTAAAAGCCGGATCTGTTATATGCAAGGGGAGAAGTTCTCTTCCTATCGAAGGAGTGCCTCCATACTCACCCTTGACCTGAACCTTTCGACATTGCGAAGGTTTTATGACTTCATCAACTCTGAGGTTAATATATTCATGACACGTGGGTCGATAGATGACGGCTATCTTTTACGGGGAATTTTCGAAATATCATAACGTGCCAAAAAGATACTTTTGAGCTGCATTCTGTGATGTGACAGAGCGATACAAATGACTCATGTAGAGACTTCAAGCTGGAACATTGTAGAAAGGTTCTCTCCGTCCGAAAAACTGAAAGGAGGGAGGGGGGATTTGGCAAGATCGTTGCTAATAGCGGAATCTCCACCTCAATGGCTTCCTCACTTGTTCCAGATCCCAACCCAAATAATGGCTGGAATGGAAAGCGTTTTTATATATCTGTATTCCACTTAGCAAGGTTGAACTTGAAATTCAATTATTTGTGCCGGAAAACCGTTCATAGCGTTCAAAGCATAATGGATAGATTGTTAATATAGAATGTTTATCTTGAAACTGAAGTATAGATAGTATGTTCCATGGGCGTTCATGTACCACGTATATATACATGATTCTCAGCTAAGCAGTGTACAGTATAAAAGTAGTGCTTGAAATCACTTGAAATCCAAAGGCACCAAAGGAAACGTGGAATAATGATTATAGAAATATTCTGGCTGATGAAAAAGGCTGCAACCAGACTACTTTTGCTATAATTATGGACCCGTAGGCATCCGTGCGTACTCACTTGTCTCGGGAATTTCCTTCCTATCCGTGGGGCTCTTTGAGAGGAAAACACTGGCCGTGAAAGTCGTCTCGTAGAAGCTGGTCGAGAGCGAGGAAGTGGCGTTGGCGAAGACGCCGGGCACGTCCGCCGGCTGGCATTGCTGAATCGGGAGGGACAAGAGGCCTGCCAGCTGGAAAATCCCCACATTTCGGTTAATTACTGGGACGCTTGAGCCTGAGAGGATTTTAGAGGCACTTACTCTGTAGAAGCCAGAGCTGGCGTCTTTGCAGATGAGGGGAGCTCCGGACTCCCCACACCAGGCAGAGGAGAAGGCGACACACATGGAATTGGAAGGCAGACCGCTCCCCTCGAGAATCTTCTCTTGGCACACGCTTGAATCTACAATCGACGCCGCATACTCCACGGGCTCCATCACCACTCTCCCTGGAACTGCAACGCAGAACTCTTCACTTCACCCCGTCACCCCCACGTGGCATGACGGTAACAACAGTTGCCTCACCTTCGAAGTGACTGATGAGCCTACACTCCGAGAACTCCTGAACACTATAGGCATCTTGAGTGCACAACAAGCACGCCTCTTCCTCCGCCTTCACTGATTTCTCAAGGATGATCATCCCCAAGTCATTTTCGAACGTTTCTTCTCGAAATTTTCGGTGCGAGAAGTCCGTAGCGATGCGGTGACGTACCGGACTCCCAGAGACTCTTATCGCCAGCTGTCCGATCTTATACTGTCTAGCGTAAATAAATGATTTCAGTGATTTTGACATCAATGTCAATCAATGTTTTTGCAATCGTGAAACATAAACACGAAAAAAGTACCGGTGGAAGAAGAAGCAGGAGGCGGTGGTGACAACAAACTGACGCTCAATGAGGGCCCCGCCGCAAAGCATCTTTCCACTCGGATCCACAAGGACAGCATTCCAGCAATGTTGCCGAAGGCTTGAGTTGGAAATCGTGGAGCTGCCTTCGATCCAGCACGTCTCGTTCGTCAGACTCGATGTTGGAAGCACTGATTAAAAAGGAAACACGTAAATTGGCGTCAATTTACAGGGTGTCCCATAAATCGCTATACCATTTCAAAAAGTCACATGCATTTATAGCTGGCATAGTTTGAGAGTTATGAAATTCGCCCGAGGGGGCACACGTGCTTGAAAACTGATATTTATCCAATTTAACAGATTTTTATTTAACCGATATGATGTACCAACGGGAAAAAATTCAATATTTTGGATTTTGGAGTTTTATGTAGGACAGTTTAACTCTGGAAATTTTCAATATTTTCTGAGATGGTCGAATGTCATCCCTCGGTCAGTTGGCATGGAATGGCCCATTTCTATCATGATAGGTAATCGTGAACCTTCCTGATGACACCCTCATTGTTTTGCGTCCAGGAACAATGGCACTTGTATCTGCTCTCATGACTGACCAGAAGGTTGTGTTATGATTTGCTGGCATTGATGTGACCCCGTTTCTCAGACTAATGACTAAATTCCGATCGCCGTGGCTTGATGCAAAGAACTCTATGAGACCTAATGTATCGCAGAGTAACTGCGCTTGGCACAAGTTGCGACGGTCCACATAATTGATCGGGTAAGCAAAATGCATTGCAATCAATCACGTTAGCTCGGTGAAAGCCGAATAAACAAGCTCTGGTTTATTATATAGACAGAATAGAATTTTCTACCTATCATGATACCTTATCTTGATATGTATAACATGTTTTGCATATTGTCAACTTATCAAGTCAACTCATCACATGATTCCCTCCAAAATAGCTATTTCATTAGTTATATACGTTTCTATATACCAGCCAGATGCATAGAAAATTTTAAGAAGACAGGAGCCAAGGGCCTGACTCCTTCGGGACTAGGGATCCATTCGAGTGAACGCCTCCTTTCCTCATCTCCACCGCTGTTTCTTTTTGGAAAGGCTATTGTCACTATCCGGAATAAGTTATTGTGGCTCGTCATATAGTTGTACTATGACCTATATATATTATTTTAAACTTATTCACTTCTCATTCCCATATTACTTACTTTCGAAACCTGTTCATGATTTCTGGCTTGACGAATACATGCAGCCAGTTTTTCCCAAACTTGTTACAATTTTATTTCTAAATACTGAATACACCAATGACAGGATAGAATAACATGTGAAAAGTTAATTTTAGATTCTCAGTATACTTTTTCATACTCCTATTTTCATCCCAGATACCTTTTAAAAGAATAAATTAAAAGTGTATGAATAAATGCAACACATTTGTTTTCCAACAGCAAGAAAAAACATTCAATAACCTTATTTAGTGATATGAAAGAAAATTTAAAAAGAAAGTATGACCTAATATCAATTCCTATATCCTTCCTCCCAAGAAAAAGCAACTATAAAGAGAACAAGTGGGGATTGTGATACCTCTGTTGGAGACCACTTCTAATTCCCTCTTCTCGATGGCCGTCTTGAGGGCACAGCAGCGATGTTTCCCTGAGCATCGAAACAGGTCAGTGAAGTCCCTGTCGCCGTGGGCCCTGCACGCCTCGGAAAGGTAAGCTGCCATACAGCGACCGAACGAAGGGTCACAATTCACCTGGCAGCAGTATATGTCGCCTGTCTTGCATTCTACTCTCATCTTGTTCGTGGTCCCGGGCACGCAGGACCGTGAGCTGGTTTGGGAGATGCATTTGTATTCACAATGTGACAAAGAAGGTGCCTTAGATGAACCCTTTGTGGGAACCTTATAGGGAACATTGGAGGTAGTTGAAGTGACACAGCACACACGATTTTCGTTGCACGAGTTCCGAATCTGCGTTCCCGGTTTGCATTGGTGTTGTGCTGAATCAGTAGGAATACACGTATGAGTTGATGGACACGATTGCATTCCAACCAGACTTTGCATGGCCACCTGTCCATCACTTCCATGAATCTGACAGCAGATTTGAGTTTCCAGGGGACAGGCGTGAAACAACGAGGTTCTCGTATCGCACAGCGCAGCGTAGGCTACATCGATGCACAAAGATCCATTCGCCAAGGGACACAAAGGTCTTGGTGTTACCATACTCGCTTCAGTTACAGCAGTCACTAAGGTACTTCTCGGCTCGCAGCAAAATTCCCCGGGACGACAGTCACCCTCCTTCAACTGAATCAAGGTGCCTGGCGCGCAAAGGTGAAACTCTTCGGCCTTTATGCATTTGTAAGGACACAACCGACAATTTCTTAAGGAATCCAGGTGCAAATTCTTGAATTCAGTTCCGTTTTCGCATTTGCCATTTCGCACATTCGCCATCAAGCCCTTGACGAAGGCAAACCAGTCCAACCCGCAATCGCACTGGATGGGATTCCCTGCAAGCAGCAATGATTTGCCTGATTATGTTTACTTAACTTTTCAGATGAAAATCAAATCGGAAAGTTGGAAGTCTTGCATCTCACATCGTAGATCAATGAATCCGTCTCCGCGTGAGAGGACTCCCATCATGGGTGAGAATACACCATCTGGCAGATTGCCAATTTTGTTGTTCCGTAGATAAATCTTCGCGTTTGGCGTGAGACCTGAAATGAGTATTGGAGAATATATGCAGTCCATTTGTCTCAACCTTTCAATGCCGATACCAAGATATCCTATGAAGTGGTGACATTCATCTTCCTTTCGTGCTATTTAGGTTGCTTGAATCTTTTTCTGCGAGTCTGGAATTGCTCGACTCTCGTATTTCAGCTAAACGTCAATCACATATATTTCGACCTGATTTTTTAAAATAGAAAATTGGCAATTCTGTATCACAGGCTCCAAAGCATTTATTGGAACGAACTGGTATCTGTAATGTAACAATATGTTTTTCATGGTTTGCAAAAGTGAGTCCAAAATTGAAAATTTCATTGTACTTTCATCACAAATTTCATTTGTGATGAAAGTACAATAGTATGTTTATAAGTTTACAGGCATAGAAATTAGAGCCAATAAATGCGTCTGATTTAAAAATTTATTTTAATGTTGGGATAATCATACAAAAGGGAATTGAATAATGAAATGCGTTAAGCAGCAAAAGTGGAAATTTTCTACTGACCAAACTTTATTTCTGTAGCTGGTTCAAAATGCCTTCATTAAGTTTCTAACAAATTACCTTCATCGCTACAGAGATCGAAATTATTTAAAACGTGTGTTTCTCTGCCCTTCGAGCAAACAAACTCGTTATGATGATGCCTCCAGCGCTCCATTATCTATCATAATGATTAAATCATTTGAAATACCGTTTTGACCTATTTGGCAAAGCTCCTGGAATCATAGGCATATTTTATTATTCTGTGAAGATGCTTCCTGTTATGTGAAGTCATTCGCAAACGAACAAACGGAAATCTTTAGCTTCCTAAAATGGTCATATCGAGAGGTACTTCTGTATAGTGTTTTAGCTTCGTATTGAGCTACTTGAATCATTTTAGGGTAAACCTTTTTTGAGTTATGTTTCATTAAAATATGTTTGCCCCATTGAAATGGAACTTAAAATATATATATTCAAGGAATTTTTTCTTCAGATGATCTTAACGGAATTTCAGTGTTCTGTATCTGCCTTTTTACTTTAACAATAACTTTCATGAAAATGTCTACCCAAAAGGAATCCACAAAGGAAAATATCTCGAAAGTTTTGTTATTTGTTAAATATAGATCTGTACAAGGAACTTCGAGACTCAGTTTCAGTTTCTCCCTCTCCGTTTCTTGAAATCGAAATTTTTTGGGAATACATGCGCAAAAAAAGTCCCTGCGTGGATGTACCTGAAAATGGAAAAATGATAAGATCAGAACCCCAAGATCTGCAGGATTACCAAATGTCAGTAATTTATTTCTCCACGTTGAAGCTTATTGCGGCAAAAATGTTTGCGGTAGCAAATTCTCTAAATAAAAATTTTTCTTCCGGATGAAATTCGCAACTAAAACGTTACTAACATTAGTATCGAGTGAATCACTTGTATACCACATTTCAGCATTTAATACTTATATTTTTAAGATTATGAAACATTGTATATGTGGTACGTTCCTGTTGAACTATTTTCCAAATAATTCCAAAGTTCGTTGATACTTTCGGGGTGAGTTTCAGGAGTGACCATAGGAGTTCCTTAAAGTTTAGTTCAGGAGACTGCGCAGGCCATTCCAACACCTCCAAATCTAAACTTCGAACCATTGGCGAGTCTTGAGAGGTGTGTCCTTGGGATCATTGTCTAGCTAGATGATGAAGCCATCTTGTCCCATCTCGCAATAATCGACCTTAAATGTACACCAGTACACCAGTATCTACGATACTGGTGTACGGTTCGGGGTCCATGCCTCCACCGATGCGGCAGATCCAGGCGACGCCTTTAGCAGTCACCCAGTCCCAAATCATCAGGATTCTACCGCCGAACTTGACTGTAGAGGTCGAATGCTTGTACCCGGCGTTTTCCATTTCCAAATGTGCCCAGTCAACATTTTCCTGATGGGAAGAGCTAGCGATATAAGACTACCATCTTTGCATAGCTTAAGACCATATGCATAGCTTAAGCAGTTCTTACCTCATATGGTGTAAGAACTGCTCCGATTGTTCGCTTCTATCTGATGTTAAAGCCAAAAGCGTCTCAAAGCTCTAAACATTGCGCCACTTGTTTGGGCCACTGTATTTCAAGAGTAGTATATGTACTTTGAAATCCGACAGGTACATCTACTCAAAGTTTCATCTTTCTTCAGTTCTCTGTTTAGTTGAATCCAAAAAATATTCCTGAAATTGAGCTTAAAAAATGTGCCCTGAGAGGTTTTACCTAAGAAGTAATATTGCTCTTAGTTTTCTTAAACCTCTTGAGACATTTCCTGCTCCACTCATCCAAAACACTCAAACCTCGTCCGGCTCTAGTCCCATACACTCTGTTCTATCAGAATAACCTAGAGCACTTAGAACCTTTTAAACCTTTAACACTTTCATAATCTCGTTGTCATCAACGTTAAATGGAAGTTATACGGAAGTTGGATAGGCAGGATACCTCTAATCGCATTCGGCTCCAGGCTGGAAATGTTATTGAAGTCGAGCCAAATCTCTCTGAGGGTCCTGCTGCGGAACTCCAGGGTCCCACCGGAGAGAATAGGTCCCAGATTCAACCCAGAACCGTCGAATGTCTCAAGTCTTCCGAGGTTCTTCGTGATTGTGGTCCGAAAGTTCAGTTGGGGATTGTAACCTGTAACATTGTGATATGCGTAGATATTTAATCACGGACAATATCAAACATAATTATACCTAGGAGCTCCCTATTTAGTGCAATTTTTTTAGCTGTGAAATGCCGCCTGCAGGCTGGTCCAATTCGGATGTGCACGAAGAAATAGTCAACCGCAGACTTTTCGCCAATCTCGGCAATTATATTGGGGATTTTAAATACTGCCATCATATTTTTAAAATCTCCTCAATGCACTCCTCACATTTAACTCATCTAATAAAGTTTGATTAAAATTCGATGTGCTCACCTTTTCATAACCCATTCAGGCCCCAATCGGTCTGCCAGCCGACCTGATGCTTGCATGGGTTAACAGAGATATGGTGATTTTATAATTTTAAAAGAGTGCCGGAAAGGGTTGATTCAGAAATATTTCCATAGTTTTTTTGGTTTCGACAAACTGATGACAGGTGAAAACAGGACAGGGGGGCTTGAGGAACGAACACAAAGAAAATTGCATTACAATTGAAAACAAATGCTTACTGATGTTAAGCGACCGCAAGATAGGAGTCGTCCATCCTTCTTCGTCAAGTCTAAGAATCTCGTTTCTTGCAAGCGAGAGCAGCTTCAGGCTGGGACTCTGAAGCAATGGGACAGACACGAAGTAATTGCCTTCGAGGGAGAGCACCTCCAGCCGCTGCAGCTCAGGGAGGAGATAGAACGGGAACCCGTTGAGTCGGCTGTTTTCCACTGCCAGCCGAGACAGCAGGTACTTGGAAGACAGCAGGGCGGACGGATACACGATCTTCACCGAGGTGTTCCTCACGAGTATTACCTTGAAGGCAGCATTTCCGAACGCTTTTTCGGGTAGCTCCTTCACGTCCATGTTGTCTTGCAGCCTAAATATCCTGCCATATGGGAAATTCCTTTCCGTGATCTTATTTGTAGAACGAAACCTTGATCAATTCGTGCACGTTAACCTGGATTACTTTTCGTGTAGTAAGACCAATGATAGGCAGGCGTAGATTCCAAGTGCATGGACCTGCATCGGGATGAACATTTGTGAATGAAGATGACAAATATAGATTTAGAATCTCGAGCCTCTTTCATCTGCTCTATGTGAGTGATCCATTAAAGTGAGAGGACTATCCCTCTAAATATTATAACTGGAAACAATACATCATTCCCTTTAGTCAAATCGAAAATTAGAGATGTTAGCAGACGCAATCACCTCTGACCATCGCATTACAGAAATTTTAGTCTCATCGACTGGTTCTTAGCTGAATTTGAAGCATTTATTTCCACAACTGCAAGTGACAACTTCGTATGCGTAGTAACGATGCAAATTAACTTTGAAAATGACGTACGGTGACAAGTTGCAAACAACCATCTGTTCGGCCAGTGACTTCACGAGCGGCAGAAAATACAGAACAATATGTCTTGTGCAGATTTGGAAAAACGATCAAAAAACCGGAAAATGAGTCTCACCACATGTGGTTCGTCGACCAAGAGACATTGATCAGAGCGGAGGAAATTTCCGCACTCGACCGGGCAAGGGAGCAATCTACAGTAAGGTCGCTGTCTTCCACGAAATCCGACCATTTTTCGTCTGAGCACGTGCAGGGGCGGATGTCCTTGGTCGGGCACGAGTTCTTTCTCGCTCCGGACCCCAATAAAAACATAAAGAGGACGAGGATCTTTCTCGGCATCGCGATGGAATTCAGGTTGGATGAGATTTTTTCTCAAAAACTGCTTTCAGAGGTCATCGATGAGGGTAGGCCCCCTGTAAATCACGAAAGCAGGTAAAGACCACATTGATGTTATGTACAGCAAAGTTAAATCATTGTTGTAAGGCTTTTAAAATTAGCATCAATGGAGGATGATGCGGATATGTCGCTAGTGGGGATTAAGCATGCTGGTCTGAAAATTGGAAAATCATTTTACTTTGACCTCTATAATTCGTGTAAACCTTTCTCGTTGGTGTCGGCTTTCACCTTGAGAGTGCTGGAGCATCAGTGCTTCACTATGTGCTGCGTGCGAGTGCATCCTCAATTACATAATTTCTCAAGTTGTAATTTCTGGTACTCCCACTACTCACGTCAGTGATGCCTACTTATTGTGTGGCACTGCGAAATAGGTAGGATCATGAATATTTTAGACAGGAAAGAAAAGGCATTAGGAAAGCCTCGCACAAGGTGAACGGAAAATGTCGCAAATACTTGCCCCGAGAGACAAGCCTTTCCACCTCTTCAAATGGAATACGTTGCTCATCATTCGAGAATGCTCTTCCTCGAACCTTATCAAGCTTGAATGGGCGACATGGAAAACGAACAAGTAAATATCGCCTTGCAATATTCTTTATTCGAATATTCTCCACTCCTACCTCCTACATAACCCACACCCCATATATACCCTCTCATCATAAATACCCGCTTTACCAGGCAGTTCCAGAGTTTTTAAGACATAAGTAGTGAACATTCATTTACGAAAACGTTTTCCAACTTTCTGTTCCTGTACAGCATGGATATTAAAACTTTGACCAAATAAGCTCCAGTAATCCTTAATCGCCTTGCGTGGGATGGTTTTTCATTACTTTTGCATCATTTATGTCGATGAATTTAACACTTGCTTGGTGGACCTCTCATTTTGACCAATTTGTTTTGCCGGTGACGCCAGAAAACTTTTTTTTATTTAATTGAATGTCCACTTCAATTAAAACAAATGTCATTTACCATGAGTAAAGGTAATTATCATGCCTTCTTTCCTTAAAATATGGAAGCTTCAGATCAAGCCAAATTAGACAGAGTGGGATGGGGAGCAGCAGATCGAAAACCGTTGCCTAAACTGTGCTACGTCAGTAACACTTCAAGCCTGGCTTCCTTCCTTTCATTCATCCATGTCAGAAATTAGACAATTTATGGCCGAAAAACCTACATGTGTCTATGCTCAACGAGGCACTCTCGAAGAACTTCTGGTCCGAGCCATCTTTAAGGTATACCGTCATTCATGTATTCATTTCGAGTCTGGTGTTTCGTCAATAACTTTGAAACCTCCATGCACCATGTATCCTCACCACCATACATACCCCCTATGCCAAGCATACCACCCATGCCCTACATGCCCATTTCCCTCTAAATACCACACTACCTATATACCCCATTCTCCTCACATACAAAACCCCCTACCCCTACATGCACCCCATTCCTCCAACATCTCCTTTTCCCTATATGCTCCCTTTACCCTAAATACTCCCCGCCCTATATACACCCCTTTCCCAAATATCCCCCATACAAACCAATTCCCCTTACCCCTTACAAACCCTGTACTCTTTTGCTCCTAAGCGATTCCTTCCCGCCAGCTTCGATAATATTTGACGTCAGGCTGGATCCGTTCCGTTTTGGCAGCCAGTACAAGGAATGGTTTTCATCGGTTGCACTTTCTGACACTTCTGAAGGGAGAGAGGGCGCGAAATAGTTGCGTTAATAACCCTACTCCCCCTCCCCAAGACAAAAAGACGGAGTTTCTGCAGCTACGACTTTTTGATATAAGATTCTCTATTCGCGCTGGGACATCACCCACCCCAGAGACCCTCTTTCAAGTTTTGGTGTCTTCCATGACAATTTTTTTGTTGTTGAAATATGAAGAATTTCCTTTTTTCCCGATAAAGTTAGGTATTTCGGCAAAAATTAAGTTCTGAAGCTTTCCGAGAAAACCTCCCGGATATCAAGATAATAACCCATAATTTCTTAAGTTCCTGGATGCATGATGAGCCTTACCTCTCTCTATAAACCGGTATTAAACTGAAAATCAACTTCTTTGGCACGATGACACTCTACCGAGGAAGCTGTCTCGTGAGCAGACACAACATGTTGAATGTATTATAATCTTCCTTTTTGGAAATACTTTTAAGAATATTTATTATTATTATCCTAGAGAAGCAGAATCACCTGCCATCTCCGAGTTTAAATCAGTTCTTTCTGCAATTTTTACATGTTGAACGTGTTTCACATACGTGTGGAATGAATTTACTCTCAAGCATAGACTGTGAAGATACGAAGCGATATAGAGAAGATAGTTCTATTGTTCCGATTGCATCAGATTATATTTAAAACTAAGTCCATACCAAGCGCATTATATGTTTATTTTACCTGCGATTTATGGAGTATGCAGTGATTACACTAATTCACGTGTGTCAAATTTCACGCCTTTGATGTCACTATCTTCTCATTGCGGGGATTTATCCTCGTTTTTTTTCAAGTGCACCAAGAGGGAAGGTCCATTCGTGACCTTGAAACCCTCCGCCTTTATTGTGAGGAAGCGCGTGACTCGAATGCAGATGAGCACCCTACTCAAATCTGGATTACCGCAGTGCAAGGGAGGAGCATCTTTACTCTTTCGACGTATTTACAAGGTTAACGAGAACTGTACCTCAACCTTTCGTCAATTTCGACTCAAACTCGCCTGCCGACGAATTTAGCACAGAACTCGCTAGTTATCATGAAAACGAAGAAATTATCTAGATTATTATTGCTAATTATGATTGAAAGAAGGAAAGTATCATATCAGTGCGGGACTCCTTAACATAGCCAAAACCTCACCTGAAACGAGACCATGTTCAAAACCTCGAGAAACGCGGAGAACGCAAGAATACATGGATACAAGGCGCGAGCACACCGGACGAACACCGTGGATGAGCGCATGGAAGAGCACAGTGGACGAGCACACTGGATATGGGGAGCCAAGGAGTAAGGCCTCGGAGCTCATCGTCGGCCGCCGCGGGGAAAGTGCGAGAGAAACACGGGGAAGCGGGCCTTGAACGCGATTGCACCTCGGGCATTCCGCTCCTCTTCTCTCCTCGGAGAATATCCCCTTTGCCTTTTCTTTTTTCGCCCTGCGAGGCTTCACCCTTTTCGCTTCCTTTGGTAGAGAATGAGATCTTCATATTCTTTCTCCTTGGAGATTGAATGGATTAAGCCGAAGTCATGTACTTCATGGTTATCCCGTTTTAGTCTCCGCCACTCAGATCCATGCTACTCATTCTTCTTAAGGACATGAGCTCGTTCAACACCGTTTTACGATGCATGTTATTTCCTTTTCCTATTTATTTTCCCGAAACTACAGTGAATCGGATCAATTAGTTATAAAATCTGAAATCGGAATAAACCTCCATGCTCGTGCTGCAAAGCCAACTAGTGATTCTGCTTCCTGCATATGTTTCGCTTATTTATGAGTCTGGGGGCCTGGTTTGTCAATTTCTAACCACAGGTTCCTTTTTCTGAACAAACATTAAACATCTGGGTTCGAAGAGTAAGATATTATTAAATAAAATCCCGCTGCAACGATCTGCTTTCCCAAAGTTTCAGCGTTTCTCGCAAATTTCCAGGAAGCATTGAACTTCGTCAACGTTGCATTCAGCTCTGTAGCTGTCTCGAAATTGAATATTAACATTTTTTTCTCCACTTTGGTCAAGAATCACAGCAAAGAGGACAGGTTAGGGGAATAGACAATAAGAGGCAGGGAACATAAATTCCTGCTGGAGTTGAGGCATTTCGTCTCGTTGTGCTTGCCAGAATTTATAGCGTATATCTGCGTGCAAAATATTGGGTTGGAAAGAAAGTCTTGGAACAATTTCTAAAACTATTTATTAAAATTTTCAAAGGAATGATGGGCGGGGCTTTGCATTTGTATATGCTGGAATGTTCTCGAAGCTTCTTCCCTCGGGGTATATAAGGCGGCTTCTGCCATCAGTTGGCAGCNCGCCGAGCCGATGAGGGACCCATGTCGAGTAAACCTTCCGATAGCCGAGGTCGTTCAGATGGTTGCCGATGGCCATATGGGTGACTCCAACTGTAGTCGCCGATTCGCGAGTGGTGGCGTTCGGCTTCGCGTCGAGGGCGTTCCGCAGGGCTTCGTCATCGACTGTAGATAGACGTCCTGAGCGTGGTCGATATCCGAAAGTCGTGTCGCCAGACTCCAAGCGTTTGAACCATTGAGACACCGTGGAATAGTGGACGACGTTACCCTTGAATGCAGCGCAGATGTTGTCCGTGGCGGGTCTCGCAGTGTCCTTGGAGGAACTCGTAGTAGACGATGGGGCGAAGAGTTGCTCGTTCGATCGGAGCCATGGCTGCCAACTGATGGCAGAAGCCGCCTTATATACCCCGAGGGCAGAAGCTTCGAGAACATTCCAGCATATGCAAATGCAAAGCCCCGCCCATCATTCCTTTGAAAATTTATATAAATAGTTTTAGAAAGTGTTGCAAGACTTTCTTTCCAACCAAATACAAGAGAGGGTAATGTGTCTGTTGGGGTGTTATTCCGAGGAAACTCCTTCTAGACGGATTAACGGATTTTCATGAGTGAGAAGTCGATGGAAAGTTTATGACCAGAGGCGATACTTCTTGGATCAAAAGTCCAAGAATGGGTCCCATTTGCATGTATCTGTAAGGCCAAATTTCAGTTGATAAGAATAGCGTTATGAATGGTTCTCGGGCTGTGTGCTCGCACATCAGGACCCGCACTCGACCGGAAACTAGATCGTCAACCTCGATTCACGCCCGATGCACGGGTCAGATTTTTCTATCGAGCCTATCCGCATCCCGGTCAAAATCTTCCTTATTCTTCTATTGATTTAGAACAACGGGTCTCACTTTAAGGCTAAGAAGCGGAACTCGCTGAACATTTGCATTCAGGGGATTGGGGTTTCCCTTAACCCTTTCGGCACGGAGTTTGGCGGTCATTATCGACATCCATGGACTGAGTTAGTTTTACGGAAGATGTACAATGTGGATATTCTATTACTAAAAAAATTGAAAGAACATGAAAATATGTTACATTCTTGTTTCGTTCAAAGTTAAACTACGTCAGATGTGTGTCAACATTGCTGTTGGCACGTTGTTGGCATGCTGCACATTGTCGGCACACAGCATATTGCTGAATAACAGGATCAAAATGCTGGTCATTGGAGGCAAAAATCCAGGTCATTTCGAGTGTGCTTAGGACTGGGCTCTGGATGAACGTCAGCTTCATTACTGTAATCCGAGTCACCTTCTTAGCTACTTAGCTTGTAGTTGTCATTGGTCGACATTTAATCATAGGAAATGTCAGACACGAGTTCAAGTTCATCTTCCGATTCTTCATTCAGAAATATATTTTCCACGTCGCGTAGTGCCAGATTAATTTTAGGACGTATTCGTGATGTGGATTGACCCTCTCCATTTCTGTTTGCTTTACCGATGCAAAATACTTGAAAAATAATCATTTGAAAATTCAAGAACCGCACATAAGTGTTCATAAATCAAAGATAGAGCCTAGAACTAACCAGTTGTAGCATGTATACACTTTGGCCCACATGTGTTCATAGTCCTGAGGAGCAGCCAACTATAAAACGTGCACACACGTTCACAGTCCAAAAGGCACAGCCTACTATAACATATATACCCGTTCACATCACTTAAAGGGTTAAGACGAATCGAATCTCTTTATACTTTACTGAAATCATGTCTGTTGAAATTCAAAAGTCGTATCTTTAGAATGCTATGCGATGGAACTCACTGAATATTGTTAGAAAAGGGAAATGGAGTGTCTCTTCAGACAAGAACAATCCTCCCGCCCTCCATCTCATTACTGGGAGTCCTAAATTCGTTCGGTGTGTCTCAGTTTCGAACTATTGGTGTCATTCTAAACACGGTGCCGATAACTGTTGGGTCAATAGGCAAGAAACTGTTTCCATTTTGACAACATAGGGGATAATTTAATTTTGGCGATGAGTATCATTTTTACTGAATGCTTTCCCTAGCGAAGTGCTCACGACCAACAATGAGAGTATGAAGCATTGTCGGCAAGGGAAGTTGTTGCCATTGTAACTCTTGGCAATGATCATATGTCATACTTTGTCACGTTACCAGTCCCGTCACTGGTTTAAGACAGTGCTTCACTTAAGTTTGCAGCATTGAGTTAGTGCTCCAATATTATTGTTTTATTTTTGAAACGCCTGCGTTCTCAAAATGCCCGAAAAAGTGGGAAAGTTTACACTATTCTACAGTGGTACCCTCAGTCACTCAGTCAACGATAAGCGCCCTCTTTCGGGATACAACGCTATCTTGCGGAAGTAAAAGAACCTCCTATACTCATGAACCTCTCGGTCAAGAATCAGCTAGA